GGAAAGAGGGAATGCCAGTTAAATAATCTCGATGACACCTCGGCTAACGATGCTTCCCTGGTTGAGATCATGGAACGCTTTTCCGGCCTCCTCGAATTTGTATTTTCGAGAAACCGCTTCTTTCAGATTGAAAATCCCTGTCTCAGCCAGTTTCACCAGCTTTGGAAGATCCTGCCTTGCCCTTCCTCCGTATGACCCTATCACCCTTATCTGCCAAAAATATTCATATCATATATTGCAGTCAAACTATCATAGGTCAAAGCAGAGGATTAGCAGAGATTTCACCAAAGAAAAAAGCAAGCAAGATAACAAAGATTCTGTCGGTTCTTGGACACGAACCTTCCTACGGACAAGACGGTTTATGTCTATTTCTCCGACGGCACCAGCCTGTGACAGCCCGATCATTACAGCCTTGCCCCCATCTTTCACACTTTGAGTGCACTGCATGAATGTCTGAGGCTTTCCCAGAGCTTCTACTGCAATGTCTACGCCCATTCCCCCTGTTATTTCCTGCCCAAAATATCGGATTTTCCTTTCATGAATCAAGAAAATACACAGGCTTGTGATACTAGATACTTTAATTTAAAAAAAACGATATGGATACGGGAAGGATTCTGAAAATAAAATAACTTGTGCAAATACCGTACTCTTATCCTTTCAACAGCGTCTTCTTTAGTTGCATTGACGATATGGTTGGCACCGAATGTCTTCGCTTTTTCAAGCTTTTCATCTTGTACATCCACAGCTATTATATCAGATGCTCCGAAAGCCCTTGCTATCTGCAAGCAGCTGATTTTTTTTTTTTTTTTTTTTATATAGAAAGTTATGGTTATCCATCAATAGCAATATCCTTGAGATTGGTAAGAAGAGTTCAAAATATCATTTTGTTATTTCTATTTCAAAGCTGAAGTACAAAGAGACCTCACTTACCTCGAGCCAACACCGCCTATTCCAATTACTGCAATAGTATCCCCCGGCCGGACTTCAGCAGCATGGGCCATCGCACCATATGCAGTAAATACAGCACACCCGAGAATTGCAGATTCAGTATATGGCAACGATTCTGGTAGACTTGTCAACCCATGGGCTGGGATAACACAGTATTCAGCAAGCCCTCCCATACTGTACATATATACAGGTTTACCTACATGATTTAATGACATGCTTAAGCAAGAAATTATGATAAAAATCCGCTAGACAAGAGCCAGTCCGCATAAACTTTGGTTTGGAGGCAAGCTACTCAAGAAAAAAGACCATCATGAGACTGTTATTAGGAATCTAATCATGACCGGAAAGGGGAAACTTACCATTACTCCGCAAGAACAGTCGAGTTTCACCATCATAAAGAGTTCCTTTCGCCCGATTATAAGCAAAAAAGTCTTCACATAAATCATCGTGACCCTGTTCCCAATCTAGGGATTAGCTTAGCTGAATCACAGTTTCTCCATGTATTTCCAATAGGACGTAGAATACCATATGAAAGACCATGGAATTCAGTGCAGTCACAATAAACAGGAAAATGTAAAATGCATGCCAGAGTTATCAACCACTAGGGTTTCCCACCTTAGAGCAATAGGAACAGTTTCCACATGGCATAATGAAAGCTCCAACCACACGTGATCCGATTGGAAATCTGTAAGCGGCCACAGAATAAATTAGAGATATTGGTTTTTCCGATGATCTTAGCCACTGCTGCTACTACAAGTCATAAAACTATTCAACATAAGATCTGAAGAAACGGAGTCTTCAGCACCAGAAAGTTACTGAAAGAAAACACAACCAAGTTGCTCCCATAGTTTCTTGTTACGAGAGTTAAAAATCAATCCCAAAGCCAAGAAAAGATCTTTTCCAGACCTGAGGTAAGCTAAGACATGTGAAGATGAAACAAGGGAACATGTCTTTAGACCTTTCTATGATCTTGCTGTCAGTGAGTTGTCCATGCTCAACTACTTCTCCAGTTACCTCATGCCCGACAACACAAGGACTGGCAAATGGAATCTCTCCCTTCATCACATGGAGATCAGAGTGACAGACTCCACAAGCTGCACGAATGAAAAAACCGAGATCGACAGTAAAACACTCGGCATACTCCAATGCAGTTCCTATGGTGTCCATCAACATTAACCTCAAGACACAAGGAAAAGTCACAAAATTTATGTAAACCCGAATACGAGTGGATCAAGGCAATGAGCACCTAACCCTGGATAAACATTTAGATGCAAAAACAGATCATCCAAAGAAGAGAACAACATTACTGACGAAGAAGGCAAATCTGAATGCATTGGCAAATTAAAAAAATACATCTGATAATTATCTTTCCCAAAAATATCTAACACCCACTTCGACTAATCAGAATCAGAAATTATATTATCACGTATCGATTATGTTTCAGCCAAACCCAGAACAGAAAACATATGGGGACAGAAAACGAAGCTTGTTTACCCTTGGTTTTGATGAGAACTTCATTGGCTTTAGGTCGGGGGATATGAAACTCTTCAATGGTCAATGGTTTATTGGGTTCCCAGAACACAGCACCGCGCATAAAATCGCCGGAACTCACGTGATAAGCCGCCATGGAAGACGGAGACAACGCCGGAAAGCTTCTCCTCCGGCTCCCAACATCATCATCGCCGGAGACAGTCGCGTGGAGAGACCTACGCAGCGGAGACCCCCCAACGGCGGGTCGGAGCGAGGACAAGCCAAACCTGGAGGCGCGGCGGAGAACTGGTCGGAGTGCCATGGAAGACGATGAAAAGGAGAATCCAATCGGTGTTTCAGTCAAACTGTGATGCGATTGCGAAGGATTAGACAGTAAGAACTTGTTAATTGGTCGCTGACGTGTCAGTCAGGTGGCGATAAGGACGAGCGTCTGACTCGCCGCGAAGGGTAAATTCGGTATCTGTAAAGATATTAATATAAAATTTAATAAATCGAGAAACAAAATTAAGCTTAGTCACGGACCCACTAAACTAAATTGAAACAACGTTAATCAAAATTACAAGTATATATACGTTTGTTTAATACTAAATCAACATCAGAAATTTAAGTTGACAAAAAAATAACCCTTTTTTTTTTGCTGCTAACTGACTTGTACCTCAAGGCAAGTAACATACATATACTAAGAAGGAATCTTCATAACAATGGTAAGTTCTTGTTTTTTTTTTAACACAAAATTGCCGCAGCAATTACAAAAAAAAAAAACTACTTGGTACGAAGACCAGGAATGTTTCTAAGACCCATCTTGCCAAGAACAAGTTTAGGGATAGAAGGAGGAATGTCCAGTCCCATGCTTCTGCTGAACTCATTGGCAAGCTCCACCAGCTTGTACTTGTCCCTTCCCACCATCTTCTGCGAGTTGTAATAACCCAGCCACGCCTGATATGCCGCCTCCTTGTTCTTCATTTCCACGTGACAGAGCGCCTTCTGCACCTGTTTTCAACATACGTATCCAAACCAACCAGTTACAGAGACTTGCACCAATCACCACATCACATCACATGCATCATAATGACGATGCACCTTCCATTTTCTTGGATATGTGAAAAAAGCTAACCTTTTTCACAGCCTCCGGGTCTATGGTGGGTAGAGGAGACTTGGTGATGGGTAAGTCCTTAACAGAGGATATAAAGTATTCCTCCCATGGCGCCAGCAACAGTATGCCTTGCCCTTCTTTGCCCTTACGCCCGGTTCTTCCAAGTCTGTGTATATATTGTTCTCTGTCTGCCGGCACGCCCACCTGAGGATGTATGTACATTTTGCATAAATTTACATTTTTAACGAAATACTTGTAATAATCGGGGAGAAAGCTTCCACTGTCGAGAAGATTATTGCATGGCAGTAGCACGTACCTGTATGACGAGGGTGACATCGGGATAATCAACTCCACGTGCAGATACATCCGATGTAACGAGGATAAGGCCCTTGGACTTGCGGAACTCATCTGAAACTCTGGTTCTGTAACTCTGCGGCTTTCTTGAATGGATCTCTCTGACATTCAGATTTAGCTCGCCAAGCAGATCAGCCACAAATCTCGTAACCATAGCAGTTGTACAGAATATGATAACCTGTAACAAAGAAAAGAGTGTTTTTTAGACAACAAATTCTCCATTTTTTGTTCCACGTTTTCCACCAGGTGCGAAAATAACTCGTACCTTATAGTCCACATTATCCGCAATATGTTCCTTGAGAAGGGTGTACAGAAGGGAGAAATGCTTGTCCAGCGCTGCAACCATATGAGTTTGTCTCACCTGGAAAAGGAAACAGACATTTCGAGTAAAAATGTATTAATCATATGACTCTGCCATGCAAAAGTTAACAAACACTCGAGGATTTTTACCTGTGAATGCGTCTCTCCAGAGCCCTCATGGACAGTGTTGACAAACTCGTGATCCCGTCTGAGAGCAATATGGCATATTTGGCGGACCTTTACACCGGAAAAACCAATTCATGTTTCCTTCCCAAAGACAATAGAAACCGAAAAGATGTACAAGGAAACAGACATACCTCTTCAGGAACCGTAGCAGAAAACAGAAGCGTTTGTCTCTGCTTAGGAACAGCAGCAATTATCCTCTCAATGTCCTTTCGGAAACCCATGTCTAAGAGATGATCAGCTTCATCCAGTACAAGGACTTTTACACCCATCAACCTTGTAGCAAATCCAGCAGTGTTCTCAATGTGGTCTTTCAGTCTTCCAGGTGTAGCTACGAGAATCTGAGAATTTTCGATATGTGATGACTCTGGCAGTACAGGTGAAGCAACGATATATAGAAGCAACCTTCCTCTCCCATTGCAGGGAAGACAAGATACGCAAAAGCCAGAAACCTAACAGGCTAAATCAAGGAGCATAACCTATGCACACTAGTAAAATGTCAAACAGTCAAAGAAGTCCAACTTGAACAGGAAGATTTTTTGTAGTGAAGTTTGTGTAGAACAATCAAAGACCGGACAATCAATTCCATTATTCCAGTAATTCAAACACTGAGCTCCGTCAATGTCTGGTTTGGGGGAAGGAATTCTGACTCATGTCCATTGACCAGAAAATCTATAGCCCTTCATTGGTCAAATAATACTTCCAATACGAATAAAATATATCTAAATGAAGTCTAGGATTTGTTCACCTGGCAAGGATTTGCTTGCATACGCTTTTGCTCTAAAGCAAGTCTTGTGCCTCCCATCACCACTTGAACACCGATAGATGAATGATACTTCAGCAATGTGTTAGCTTCTGCAGCAGCCTGACTGGCAAGTTCCCTGGTTGGGCATATCACAAGCACGAGAATCGGGGGTCGCTTATTATCCCGGCTTGCAGGAGGTGATTTGACAACAACTTCAATTGATGGAAGCTTAAAAATAAACATCAACAATAAACACATATCCCGATCAAAGGGCCCAACCGGACAAATTCCTAACCGACCAATTTATACTCAAGAAACCATAGGGTAGAGATGTGTCTCACCAAAAATGCTACAGTTTTCCCAGTGCCTGTTTTAGCCTTGGCTAGGACATCCTTTCCTGGAATTACAGTGGATGAGAAGGAATCAGTGAATAAAATAATAAATCAAAAAGGATTTTAGCATGGGAAGTCCTAGCAAAATTGTGGAATCCCAAGATTTATCCCATTAAGAAATATACAAGAACTCCTGATTTTTCCTTCTTATACACTAATGCCAAGAACGAAAAGCTAACAGATCATCATCCTAGACTTGGCATGATGCTATAAACCAATGCCATTAAAATGATCCCCATGAAAAAGTCATTGTATCTAAATCATAGATTTTCTATCCCCACAAAAAAAAAAAAAAAACAACCCCACGAGAAAAACAGTTTACCTTTGAGAATGCCAGGAAGAGTTGCCTCCTGCACAACAGTCATCTTCTCATACCCGGCATCCTTAATCGCTTTTAGTGACGAGGCAGACAGTGGATACTGATCAAATCTGTTTAAATTCATCACGTAGAGTACTCTCAATCAAAGGGCTACAAGTAGTAAAAGTAAGACACCCACAAAGAGAATAACTCTACAGCAGTCCGAGTCAAAGAGAGTGAAGAGGTAAATGCAAGGCATAACCCATAAAGAGACTAAATTCTTCAGCAATATACGCTTAGATCAAACAACAGCGAGTAGTGAAACCGTGTTAGTAGTAAGACAGTCCAATTGAACACATGTTAACCAAACTTTGCATCAAGGCACCATCCATCAAGCATCAGCAAGTAGTAAAAGTATTCTTCAATCATATACCTTGTCTCAGTCAAATAAGAATCTGAAGTTTGCTCCCGCAAAATCTTTGCCCTACCCGCCTCTACAATCTTCTCGTCATCAAAGCCTAAAGCGGAAGTTGCTTTCTTGCTAAGAAAATCATCATCTTCATCCTCATCACTACCTTCTTCACTAAGCAAATCCCCAATGCCTCCCATCAGTACCTTCTTCACATCCTCATCATCACTAACCTCACTACCTTCTACCTCGAAACGATCTTCCCGTCTTGTTTCTCTCTTTCCTTTCAGATAACCCTTGTGGTTTCCTCTATCTCTCTCTCCTCTAAAGCCTGAATCTAAATTTCTCTCCTTCCTTCCACGCAGAGACGACTGAGTACTCCTTCCTCGATTCCCACCATTCCTTCCACCGTCTACATCACTGGACCGCTTATTCCTTAACGAGTCAACCGAGTCACGAGTCCTCCTCCTGTTCGACCCACCAAACCTATCGAAATCGTCCTCCCTTCCCCTCTTCCCATCCCTAATTCTCCCGGTTTCTCTGTTTCCTCCCCTACTACGAATCCCACCCGAGTATGAGTCATCATCTTCACTCGTGGCCCGACCGCGCAACGAGCCAGTCCTCAACTCGCTAACCCAATCACTGAGCTCCGCCTCGTCCTCGACCAAGCTCTTCGACGCTCGAACCTCGCCTCTCTCCCGACTCCCGCCGAATTCCGAGGTAGACCCAGGTCGGATACGGTTCGGACGGGTAGAGAAACTGACCCGGGACCCCAAACCAAGGAATCTGAGCCGAAGAGGGAAGGCCCGAGAGATGGCGTGAACGGAGCGAGAAGAGCAAGCGGGTCCGGCGAGATTCATGGAAACGAAACGGGAACTTGGAAGAGAATGGCCGAGGAAACGTAGGTGAGGAGGGAGCTTGAAGGGCATGGCGTAGTTGATAAGGCAATGATACCGGAAAATGGAGTTCTTAGGGTTTTAAAGAGAGTGTGCTCGAAAGACGATAGGGTTTAAGGGGACAGGAGAGACGAAAAGTGGAGTCCAAAAACGGTATCGTTTTGATTGTAGTTCCTCTTAAGGCTTTGAAATGTATGAATATTCATTTATGATTTAAGCCTTTGGGCCTTTAAGACTTGGATCAGAACTGCATGTACGGCCCAAAAACAAAAAAGGATAAGAAATCTATTTATAGTGTATTAACAAATTTGATAATTGGCAAATTAAAAAAATACATCTGATAATTATAATATACCAAACTTGAATGTAATGATATTATGATTTTGATATGAGTGGTTATTAAAAGTCTTGGTTGTTGGGATTTTAATGAGGCCAATCTTTATAGTTATAGCTTTGATTTCAGCAAATGAGAGGGTATTTATTATATATTTTAAAAGTTTTGGGGTAAATATAGAATAAAAAGGAAATATCGGGACAATTCTGAAATGTTTCCACAGATTTACTCGGTGAGTACACGTGGCAAATATACAGGCTGTCAAACTTGACGACCTGGCTCCAGGCCTTCGGCTGTTTTGTATTTTCCTAATCTATTTTCATCTTTTTAATTTAAATTAGTTTATAAACCTTCTTTAATCCTTGATTAACAACATAATCTGATTATTAGATTAATCTCTTAATTGATTAAACCGAAGGAGAAGAGTTTCTCCCCCCCCCCCCGTCTCTTCGTTTTTGCTTTTCTGTTCTT